GAACTGAACGATTGAGGTCGCCTTCCTCTTGTTCGAAATGCGTAGTGTGATTGTGCAATCCAGACAGTACGATCACCTATTCTCAACAGTTGGTTGTCTTGGAGATACGGCTTCGTCATAAGGAATTAAAAAAAAAAAAAAAAAAAAAAAAAAAAAAAAAAGGAATCTCTTCATCCCACTGTTATTCAAGCCTCCTTTTCTGCAACGATCACAGACCGCATGTGTTACAGATGAGGCGTGTGACAAGCAACGACACAAATGTCTAAGTTGTACGTCTTCCTCGATGAAAGTCATTGATTGCTCTCGGTTTGTAGGGTCGGGCATTGTGAATATTGAGAAAACTCCTGTTCCCTCCCCAATGTCCCATTTCTCTTCTTTGCCTTAGAATGAGTTTCTTGTCATTTTGTGGTCAGTCTTAGCACCTCTCACGCGGCAAACACTTTGTTTTCGAGTGTAGATGACATCATGACAGGATCGCTATTTGCGGCGAGGGTTTGCATACGTACCTGCACCGAGAGGAAGTATCAACTCAGGTTGTCCTCTTCCGACACCGAACTTTGCCTTAACATGTAAGCGCACGCCGCACCTTCACCACCGATCGTCTCGATACTACGTGTATAACTGTGGTGTCTTCTGGCCAAATATGTGAAGGCAACAATGGAGACGGATTGGTCATAGGCCGAAATTTTATATTTTCACTTGACACACATTTGCATGTTTGTTTTTCCGATTGATTCTTATCATTATTTCTCGAAGTTACCCCTCTAAGACTTTTAATGATACTCATAGAGATAACGAGTCTGATGATCTTCCACATTCCCTCACCTCGACATGAAATTGCGAACTCGCTTCTCTTTTTTCACATTATCCCAGGACCTGAAGGAATGGGCACCCCAAGCGATACTGATAACATCATAGCACCGGTGCAGGCAGCAGCACCAGAGCATCTTTAGTAGTTGTAAGAAAGCAGAAATCACAGCAGCAGCAGCGGTAAAATCAGCAATGGCCAGTGGCAGCTGCAGAAACAGTGACCGAAGCAGTTGTAAGTGATGCTAGGGGAAACCCGGGAAAGAACAGGACTGACAGCACCGTAAGCGGGTGCAGGGTACGCAATTTGTGAAGAGGGCTTGGCGTGGGCTTGGTGGCTTCCCAACACGGCTCCTGGTGCCATATTTTGTGGACATCCCTCATTGCAGTCGTTTGTTTTGTCGGGGGGGGGGGGGGGGCTGACTACGGTGCAGTCACAAAAGCAGTTCCTAATTGCATTTCAAACTGCGTCTTAGCATTTTAGTCGGGGCCCAAGTTTCCTGTGTTTCAAATGCAGTTGAAACTCGGGCTGGCCATTTTTAGCAGCTCATCAGTCAGGCAAGTGGCCCGTTTTTTTTGTTTTTTTTTCCGTGTTTTTTGTTTTTCCCATTTTTCGGGTTTGTTGGTTCCCCCCCTACACAGGCGTGGCCGAGACATCTCGGCCTTGGCCCCGCCACACAACGACATGCTTTTTTTTTAATTATTTTCTGGGGTGCGGCACGGTGGCAGAGACATATCGGCCGTGGCCAACGGTCCTTCGGGACATCCGTTAAAATTGGAACGATACAGAGAGAGAAGATTAGCATGGCCCCTGCGCAAGGATGACACGCATAAATCGAGAAATGGGCCGTGACCAACGCGAAAAAAAAAAAACTGAAAAAAAACAAACAAGGGGCCACGTGCCTAACTGAACTGCCAAAAATGGCCAGCCCGAGTTTCAATTGCATTCGAAACTCGGGCCCTGACTAAACTGCTAAAATGCAGTTTGAAATGCAGTTACAAACTGTAACCCTGACTG